TGTAAAATGCATTAAATTATTTGGTTGTTTTTTTTTTTCTTCAAAGAATTTTGAAGGAGCAAACAAGATGATATATGAAAAGATTATCATAGTGCCTGGCAGCCCGGAGGTGCTTGTGACATACTTTTATAATACTGATGATTGTGATAAGGATGATTATGATTATGATAACAACAGGATGATTCTTGAAATTGTCATTTTGATGGAAGATTTGTTTTCTCCTAGTTTAACTTTTGGTGTCCCAAACAAATTATTCAATAGAATGGTTGTGTTATATTATAGAAGAATGAATACATAATAAATGAAGACCTCACATTGAAAATGTAAGGCAATCAAACAATTCAAAAGTACAAAGAAATAGCTAAATATCAGAGATCAATATCTGGAAAACATCTTCAGAAAGCCTGCATACACCAGATAGGCCACATGTTAGTAAAACAAATCTCTGCAAAATTCTCTGCAGTTCCTATATGGGAAGAGTCTTGAAATCCCAATGGTTCAAAGTCTCGATAGTCTCCTAATTCCAAGTAAAGTTAATACTTGCCAAATTCTAAATGAGTAGGTAAGCACCGAGGAATATGGCTCGGCGCTGGGATGGAACACGAACAAAATCTCTACCTGCTATCCCTGCCTCATCTAAAGGTTAATAAACACTGGAGGGTGCTCTGTCCTATGTGAGTTGTGACTCCTTACTGAAGATGGCCATTCTAGCCACATTCCCATTTGTTATAAGCCATTTTGTGATGTAGCATCTACTTCCATGCGTGTGCCTATGTCCCCATTCTGGAGGGAGTTCTGTGTTTCAGCATGAGGGTGGGATGCGTCCCACACCCTGCTGGGCTGTAAGGTATGACATAAGATACCATCATCTGTCTTTGTGTGTTGTAGGCTGAAAGAGCAAACTCTATCTCCACAGCAACAGCTTCCTAGGTGGTGTAGTGGTTACTGTTGGGCTATTTGAAACCCCCAGCTGCTCCTCAGGAGAAAGGCAGGACTTCCAACTCCCATAAAGCTTCCTAGTCTTGAGGAACGCAGAGGGGCAGTTGTGCCCCATCCTCTCGAGTCTCTATGAGCCAGAATTACCTTGATGTCGATGAGTTTGGCTTTGGGGTTTCCTCAATGAGATTGAGTAGAAATACTGCATTTGACTCATCTCTGTCTGACCTTCAGATTTTGAATGGAACACAACATGGGATATTTCCTTGAGGTCTTGTGAGTTTCTATGGGATGTTGCAGCAAATAACAGGACTCAGAAGTCTGAAGGAAGATAGGAGTTGGGGGGGGGGCGGTGAAGTAGCAGGTGGGGGTGTGAATGGAGTAGAATAACATCTTGGAAAAGTAGGCCATTTGGGACATCTTTAATCCCCAACTCTGGGATTAGTCTAGTATTAATACTTCTAAAAGAAATTATCATCACACTACTGACCTTATATATTTGTGTGCTTACATAAAAATGGACATATATTCTTATTTTTTCTTTTCCTTCATATTATGAATTTCAGTTTAGCCTATCTTAGCCTTTTGGCAGTCATCTAAAGGCCTTTGATAAAGGTCATTCAGGGCACAATGAAGGAGGAGTAATCAAGCCATGGAAGCCTATGAATGTTTCACTCAGTCTGATACTCTGACCACGACAATTCTGCTTGGGAAGAGCAAGGGGGTACACACTTTCTAGCAATAATTCAGTTATCTTTCATCTGATGCAATTGTTAAAATGAAACAAAAAATAGCAAATAAATAAAAATAAAACAATTTCTGTGTCAAATTCACAGACTTCTCATTCTGCAGCCCTGAAGACATGAATAGGAAACACATGCAAAGATTATAAATACATAACGAGTGTGACCTAATTTCATGAAAGCTCATTTAAATATACCCCATTCCAGCCGTTGGGATTCTGAACTACATTGGATCATTAACATATATAGTTCCAAAGATGATTTTGAATATCTGAAAGTGGCGGGTCCTTAATGCCTGAGTCATCAAACCACCTTCCAGAGGAGACATGGACCGCCGGCTAATGATAAAAGAAAGCTGTTGCTTAGCACAGCGGTTGCTCAGCACAGCAGCCTGCAAGTTCAAAGTGTAAGAAGAATTGCTCTGAACATCTTTTGAACTGAATCTGAAAATTACATTTGCTTTTACCTGTCATCTTGTCAACAGCCACTAAGTTTTCTAATAATATACAGCACTTTCCTAGTGAACTTGCTATTAGCAGCTTTAATATCAGTGCGAGGACTCTTGATTCTCCTCATCTTGGGAACTTGTGACCAACCTTTGCCATCAGTCTCCTCGGCAGCTGCTTTGTGATGACTGTTTGCAGATAGGTTGACACTCCAAGTTAGCCTTCTGATCACTCAGAAAATTTTACCCACATACTATATATTTTTAAGTAATATTTTAAAATAAGAAAGGAAAAGAAAAACCTTTTCTTTATTTATCGATTTAAACTCCGAGGTCAATCTTCTTTTTCCTTCTACAATGTTTTATTTTTAAATGATTGTAATTCTCACATTAATAAGAAATATCAGAAGCATCATGACTTTAATTTTTTCTACTACTCACATTAAATGAAAATATCGAAATAAGACACTTCAATATTCCCCTCCCTTTCTGGTTCCTGAAATATAAACTTGACATTGGTAATTTCATGAGGTGAACTCCTGTGGAAAGTGTCCTCCCTGATTCTGTCATAATGTATTTAAGAAACTCCTTGGTCAATTCAGCAGATATCGAATCTGTCAGATGAGGGGCAGATGTCTTTGAAAACTCCTTGACAGTTCGGAGGCTTATGACCACTGAAATGTCAGCTCATCAAAAAGGCTGACTCTGAGCTCTGTAGGAATTCAGTGGAACTTCACTTGTTCTCAGGGAACCCTGGTAGTGCACTGGGTTAAGCAGTGGGCAGCCCAAAGAGAAGTTAACACCTGAGGCTCCCCCCCCCTGCCCCCCAGCTGCTCTGAGGGAGAAGGATTTACAGTTGTTTAAGGAATTGCAGCCCCAGGAAGCCTAGGGAGCAGTTCTGCTCTGTTCTACAGGGTCACTAGGAGTTGAAATCCCCTTGACGGTGACCGTGGGTTTGGTTTATGGGGTTTTTTTTACTCCTCTCCATTCAAATATCTCTCCTTCTTGGACACTTTCTTCTTTCTTTAAAAAAATCATTTTATTCGGGGCTCATAAAACTCTTATCACAATCCATACATACATCAATTGTGTAAAACACATTTGTACACTCGTTGCCCTCATCATTCTCAAAACAATTGCTCTCCACTTAAGCCCCTGGCATCAGCTCATTTTCCCCCTCCCTCCCAACTCCCCGCTCGTTCATGAACCCTTGAAAATTTATAAGTTATTCTTTTGTCATGTCTTACATTGTCCAACGTCACCCTTTACCCACTTTTCTGTTGTCCATCCCCCAGGGAGGAGGTTATATCTAGATCCTTGTAATCGGTTCCCCCTTTCCACACCACCCTCCCTCCACCCTCCCGGTATCGCCACTCTCACCACTGGTCCTGAAGGGATCATCTATCCCGGATTCCCTGTGTTTTCAGTTCCTACCTGTGCCAGTGTACATCCTCTGGTCTACCCAGATTTGTAAGGTAGAATCGGGATCATCATAGTGGGTAAGGAGGAAGCATTTAGGAACTAGAGGAAAGTTGTCTGTTTCATCATTGCTACACTACACCCTGACTGGCTCGTCTCCTCCCTGCGACCCTTTCATAACGGGATGTCCAGTTGCCTACGGATGGGCTTTGGGCCCCCACTCCACACTCACCCTCATTCACAATGATATGAGTTTTTGTTCTTTGATGCCTGATACCTGATCCCTTTGACATCTCCTTATCACACAGGCTGGTGTGTTTCTTCCATGTGGACTTTGTTGTTTCTGAGCTAGATGGCCGCTTCAAGTCTTTAATACTCTAGACACTATATCTTTTGACAGCCGGGTACCATCAACTTTCTTCACCACATTTGTTTATGCACCTGTTTTGTCTTCAGTGATCTTGTTGGGAAGGTGAGCATCAAGGAATGCCAGTTTAATAGAACAATGTATTCTTGCATTGAGGGAGTACTTACGTGGAGGCCCAGTGCTTGGACACTTTTTTTCTGTAAACTTTTAGGTTTTTCCATCTTCAGGACACTTATTATTCATGCTATTTAAAATGCATCTATGATTTAGGCAGGACACTTTGAGGCATAACTCCAAATCAAACTCGCTAACTTAATTAAATCTGCTCCTGTGAGTTTCTGGGGTTGTAAATCTGTAAGGGAACAGAAAGCCTCATCTTTCTCCAGAAAAGTGGCTGGTGGGTTCGACCTTCAAACCTTATATTTTATAGCTAATGGGGTAGCCCACTACCAGGGCTCCAGGGCTCCTTATATTTTGAAAAACATATGTTTAATCCCAATTCTTTGACAGCAGGATGTTTTTCTATATTCCTCTTCCCTGAGAATCCCTGCTTGCTGTAAAGAAGGGATCTAACCCAAGAGCTAATATCCCTAACTCTTAATTTTAAAGATTGTGGAAAATGATGACTTATCAGTGACCTATTTACCTTAAAAAATAAATGACAAATTCCTTGGCAATTATAACAAAAATAAAAACTAATTATTTCTAAACGTTTTATTTGTTGATATTTATAATTTGACTCAGCCAATTATAAATATATATGATTTAGTTATACCCAAGAGGCCTGGGCTCCCTATGATCTATAAAGTGAACTCTGTTCCCTAGAACCCCACTCATTCTGGAGACTGAGTGAGGCTGGATAGGTAGATCAGCAAAGAATCACAAGAGAATGACAATGATTTCAACAAAATTTTAAGTATCTTTATTGACCATTTTTTGGCACTTTAGGATGGGCATGGCCTCAGATTTCAGCTATCCAATCACTCTAGGGATTTATAGCCAAGCTTTCTTTTTTACTTATTCTTAATATCAGGGTTTTTGTTGTTGTTGTTCCCCCTTATTCAAAAAGGATATCATAAGAGTGTTTGACCTGCCATGGCTACTCCCAGGAGTTCCCTGACCCCGGCTCTGTCCAGGTGGCATGGAGGAGCACATGGCTCTGCCCTGTGATGGACAGTCCCTTTCCACGACATCAGGGATCAAGCCGGGCTTCCAATCTACAGCTGCATATTCCTACAGCTTCTCAGAGTTCTGTGAACACTGACTGAGGAGACAAACCAGGCAGGAACCACCCTCTAACACACCCCTCCTAAGTTTAGATTCTGTGGATGAGTTGGATTTCATTTCTACTTTTTGGCAAAATGATCAGAATTTCACATACTATTAAAAACAATCCCAAATCTATATCTATACTCACAAGGAGGAAAATAAAGGGCCTCTTCCAGTTTTGGCCTTTGTTTTTTGAATCCTTGATTTTATGGTCCTGTGGGTTGAATTTTTAAAAGACATCAAAATATAAATTCCCACAATGCAGGTCATTACTTAAAAAATTAAGAGATGGAATTCCTTTAGTTGCTTAATTTTTTGACTTCCTCCTTTTCCCATGAACTTACTGAATGTCCCTCTTATCATAAAATAAAAGATGTTGTTTAAAATAAAAAACTTTTTTGCATGACTAGTAAAAAATGATTAGTTGATGTAAATGTAAAGATGATTGCAGGAATATATAGGGTTTCCAAGGGCATAACTCTTTACAAAGCAAGAAACTTCATCTTTCTTCAAGGGAGCAGTAAGGGGATTTGAACCACCACCTTTATGGTTACCGTATCAATCACCAGTCCACAGCACTGCCACAGATCCCCAGAGCTTGGTTTGTTGTATACAGAAATTCCTGCTTCATCCATCTGCTCTGTACTTTTCTCCAAACACTAAGCCAATCTCTTTAACCTTTAAATCCCATTATGGATCTGATATTTTAAAAATATACTTGGTCAGAAACTTTATGCAGGTACTGTGATCACCTTGTAGATACCAGATAGATGGAACTCCATTCAAAATGTGGTTTGGATTTTGAGATTGAGAATGTCATATATCAGAAAGTGTGTCTAAAAGCATTCATCCATATACACAGTATGTTTATTGAGTTTATTTAGTACTCTTCCATTTTAGTGGCGTTCATGGCTTGAGTCTCATTACTCCATATAGTATAACTTTGTAAAAAGCCACTTTTTTATTGAATTGTTGCTTGGGAATTAAGAAAACAATTGTATGATGATATTATTTAATTATATTGCATGAAAATAGGGTACTTCACCATGTAGAAGGGGGAAAAGCAAATAATAATAATAAAAAAAGAAGAAGAAAACACAAAAATCTGTAGTCAGATTCCTATAATAGCCAGTAGTAGGCCCAAAGAGTAACTTGGTCACAGCCTGAGGATAAACTCAATCTTGCCTTTCAGGTTTCTGGCAACTGTTGGCTGAAGAGGACCTTTGTAAAGAAAGGCTTTACATGTCTCCTTTAGATCAAAATCTCTGAGTGCTTAGCCTTACGTCTTTGCTATTTCTCCTTTCATTTTCAGTAAAATCAGTCCCACAGCAGCTGAGAATTATAGAAGAGTAGTTTAAACATGTTTGCTCATAGTAACTGTGATCCTGCCAATTCTATCATAATAGAGCACTTTCACAGGGGAAAAATGCAATTCAATTGAAAATCACATTAAATAAATGCTAAGGGTTTAATTTCAGCTCAGGATGTCAATGAAATTTAATGTAAAGGCAGCAAGTATGTTTTTAATATACTCTTAGCTCCCTTGATATAATGCACAATCAATAATAATGCATGGCTACAAGTCAGATGCCCATCATAATGATTTATATGTATATTAATAATAAAAACAAAATAAAAAATACTTCACTTTAATGTCAAGTAGATAAAGGTTGGCATTTTAACTTAATTTCATTGCTTTTGTGACTTTAAATTAATCCCATGGAACTTTCAGAATGCTTTCTTATAGTATGTAAAAATTTTTACTTTAAGAGTAAAACTATAGTTAAAGAACTAAATTATCAAAATATATTCATGAAAGAATTGGACAGAGACGAAACCATTTTTTATTAATTCATTCACTCACTATATATATATATATATATATATATATATATAGTACTAATATGTATCAGGAATGGTTCCAACCCTTATAAAAGTTACTTTCTATTGGTAGGAATGGCAATAAAAATAAACACAATATACAAATAAAGTATGTAGCCTATTAAAAGATAAGGAGCATTCTAGAATGAAATAGAGCAACATAAAGATGATTGAGCTTGAATGTGTAGGCGACGTTCCAGTCAGATGCCTGGATCTAACTCCAGGCAAGTCTAGTCCCCGAGACCACAGAGCAATGGACAAGGAAAACCTCATTTGGTCTTAGAATAGCAATCATTTTATCCTCCCTCAAGCTGCAGCTGTGAAACACTGGCCATTGTATTTGCCATCAGTTACTCAAGCCTCCAGTCTGACGAAGCCACAACACCTGGTAGTAAAACCTTCTGGAAATGAGTCTCAATTTCTTCAATTCAAATAACCATGAGATTTTATCGTGACATATAATTGTCACAATGAACCAAACATAACCAAGCTGGGTTTCATAGTGTTTGCATGAATTGGTAGAGGGTGAAAATGCAACAGATCACTCTTATATAACAATGAAAATGACAATAACAATGATTGGATATAGCTGCTGTACACCGCCCTGAACATCTGTAACCCAGCGCAGATATGGTGGTAATGCTAATAAAATAATGAACTCATAAGAAAGCAGAACAAATTAATAAAACACTTGCTAGTAGTTGATTCCTATCCCTGGCCACTCCATCAGGAGATAATGATTTGGAAGGAGATCACCAGGAATTTCTTCCAAGGTACCAGTAGATGGACTCCAGCCCCCAGCATTTTAATTAATGGGCTGAGTGCATAAACATTTTGTTCCAGCCCAGGGAATGCTATTGCATTGTGTATATTCTTAGCAAGCATAGTCCTAGGTATTCGACAACACAATTCCGTTTAATTTTCACTAGCACTCTATTATTAGTCTCATATCACAGGAAAGGTACACAAAAATGTTGTATCCACACAAAAGGACCAAAGAATATGTGATTTTATATAAATGCCCATAGCTGGCACTGGGATGTAGATCCAGTTCTTGTATACTCAAAATACTCATTTGAAATATAGTCAATAATTATAGCCCTTCTATCCATAATTACTTATATGACACATTATAAATACTGGCCTCTATGCCTGTGGTTTGCTTTTATTTTGAAGGGAGTTCTCTGCTATGTTAATGGTGAGGATTAGGGTGGGATTAAGTCCCTACACTAGTAGAGGGTGTGCACAAAGTCACCACCCTTTGCTTCTTTGGGGTTTAAAACAACAAACAACCCCCCCCACACACACACACACACAAACCCACATCACTATCACAAGTTAATTCTGACTCATATTGACCCTATAGAGCAAGGTAAAACTGCCGCTCATGGGTTTACAAGAATGGAAATCTCTGGGAGAATGGAAAGTCTCGTTCTCCCACAGAGTACCTAGTGTATTTGAATTGTGGTTAGCAGCCCTACTGGGACCCCACCCCACCGCCTGCACTGTCTGGGGACAGAGTGTACTAAAAGACAACAAACAAACAGACAAATTGTACCCTACAGCCATTCCTCTCTCAGAAGCAGGAACACATTGAGACATGATCACACAGGCCCCTGCACCTAGGGGGATGAACAACAGAAACCATGGGGGAAGGGAGACAACGTTGGTGTAAGATATGACAATAATAATAATAATTTTTAATTTATCAAGGGGTCATGAGGACGGGAGGATGGAAAAAGAGGAGCTGATACCAAGGGCTCAAGAGAAAGTAAATGTCTAGGAAACAATGATGGCAACAAATGTACAAATATGATTGATACAACTGATGTATATATTGTTCTAGTAACTGTAAGAACCCCCAGCAAAATGATCTTTTAATAATTAAAAAAAAAGCAGGAACACAGAGAGCAATCCCAAGACCATCAGGAAAAGTGTCATAAAAAGAGTGCATTTGAGATTTCAGTCTGAAGTAAAGGAGTCCACGACCAGAGACACAAGAGACTGTGGCCTGGAGGCCGGGGCACATCATAGGAGGCAGGTTAAGACCGGAGTGGCCCAAGGGCTCAAGTAGAAAGCAAATGTTTTGAGAATGATGATGGCAACACATGTACAAATGTGCTTGATACAATGGATGTCTGTCTGTATGGATTGTGATAAGAGTTGTATGAGCCCCCAATAAAATGATTAATAATAAATTTAAAAAAGACCAGAGGCCTAAGCAAGGAGAGTAGGGAGCACACAGGCTCTGAGACAGAGCAGAAGACGAGAGTCCAGGCTTAGAGGCTGTGAGGCAGAGCAGTGGCTCGCCTTCTGGACGTCAGAGCCAGCGGCCAAGGGACAATGCCACTGAGAGCCTGTTGACCAAAGAGACTTGGTTTCCTGAGAAGACGAAGATGTTCTGGTCTAAGCAATGATCCTGGCTTGTGGCACCTGATCACTTGCCTAACACATCACTTCATTGGGAGTTTTGTGGGAGCTCCGTGTGGCCACTGCAAAGAATTCTCGAACCCAGCAGAAAAGTCGTCGTGATTTGGAAGGAACAGTCGGTGTCCGAACAGGGTGAATGACGGTGGAGGGCCTGTGGGAATAGGGAAGCCAGAAGGGATCAGATACTCCCGCCCCCCTCCCCACCATGGAGGGTTAAAAAAAATCATTCTTTCAATATGCTGCATTGTTTTATTTAACCTTTCTGAATCAATATTTTCATTCATGAATAAATCTCTTCATGAAAAGAAAATCTCTTTGTAAGAGAGTCATTTACCAAGTAGTGAGAAAATATCTCAATATGAGTCGGATTTTTAAGATTTTGTTAAAAGCACTGGATAATGATTACACGTGAAATGGATATTTCCGACATCTAAATAAGCCATCTGCACCGCACTGATCAATATCTGGACTAATTTTTAAACTACAAAGTAGCACCTGCTGACTTTTAATTACAAGCAACCATTTTATGAATCGCCTAGAGTATCACAGACGCACGCTGCATGTACAATGAGCACCCCCCAAAGCTCATTGGGAGTAGCAATCTATCATCGGTGTCCAGAATGGCAGTGGATTCAAGCAGCAAGCACTGGCCAGGCCAGGCCAGGCACTGCGGTTAAACTGAGAGGATGCCACCATGAGGTCACATGATGGCAC